ATAGGTCTGTCCTCATGCAAATGAGCACTCAAAATCCTTGCAATTAGACTGGTCCAAGGCACTAACTGCCCTGAATGGTAGGAATGGAGCTGCTCTGATTGGTCAGTGAAGAAGCTGATGGGGGATATAGCTGTGCAGCTCTAATTGGATGGGGAAAACCTCAGTCTTATTGTTTGAACTCAGATTTCAGGAACTTATTTGTAAGGACCAACTCAGATGGCAGGAACACAGTGCAAGCAGGCAGTTCGATGCAGAAGCAGGCAGTTCAGCGCTTCTGCGCTGAACTGCCATTTGCATGAGAGGCCCCTGTGCAGAAATGGCTGCTAGGCTGTTTTTAAATTTGAGCCCAGTTAGCCACCAGGACTCCTTCTTAGTAGGTATATTCTTTCTCAGGGTCCACAAATGATGAAGATGAACAGGACTGCTCCACATTTGGCCTGTGAGTGATAACTCTCCGAGAGTGGTAACTACCCGAGAATATTAACTCTCCTAGCAGACAGAAAATGTGTTTAACCTCTGTGACAATGAAGACAGGACAGCTCTAATTAAGGCCTCACAATGCCAGCAAGAGGAATGTGCAGTTACTCTGCTAGACCACGGTGCTGATCCAAAGGTAATGGCCATCGATGGCGTCACTGCTCACCACTATGCTGCCATTGGTCAAAACACAACTATCACAGCAAAGCTGCTTTTCTACAAGGCAACCACTGAAGCAAGAAGCAAGGATGACCCCACACCATTTTTAGTTGCTATAAGTGAAAACAAACAGCAAATGGTGGAATTTCCAGTAAATAGATGCAAATATGCATGCAGTTGACAAGATGAACAGAATAGCTCCATGCTTGCTGTAGACGAGGAATCCACAAATATAGTCAGGCTTCTTCAGCAAGGTATTGATGACTTGTTCTCAAAATAAGTATGGATGGACTGCACAAAAATATGCTTTCGTTAGTGGCTTTTATTTTAATCACCATCTAGTTTCTGTATATAAAGGAGATCGAGAGTCTTCTCAGCGCAGCAATCTAGAAACTCACATGAATGTGCAAAGCGTATCTTGAAGACTCACACGAAAGACTAAGAATTGAGCAGAAGTTTTACTGACCTATCAGACTTTGGATGCCTAAGACATTCAAATTGTTCTTGCCGGTGAGTAGTTGGAATTGAAACACTCTCTTGAAATGGATACATTGCTGCTTCTATTGCAAGAATGTAAATAGCATGGCCGCAGTCTCATCTGGCAATGCCTCTCTCCCAGTTCTTGATTTGGAATGGCTCGATGGTGTAAAACACTTGATCAACCTTTTGTCGTATTTATCTAATTTTGGTTATTCTCACAATGACACCTATTGCAAAATAGCAACCCATGGTAAATGCGTGTAAGGAAATAAAGATCAGGACTGAAAACGGTTTGAGAAATGTCAATTGGTTAAGTTGAAAATAAGTAGCAATGATTTTACGGTTGGCTATTCTACTAGATGTGAATGAAAGTGTGTCTTTAGCTTCTTGGAAGTATTTTTACTTAGCAAAGTAAAATTGAAGAATTATCTTTATTTCTAGACAGTGCCATTTATCTTTGATGCAGAAATGATACTACTTGGCTGTTGGTAAGCCATATTTCCACATACGTCAGTAGAAACTTCACTAAAATGTACTTAAATATGCTCCAGATTATCTCTATATGTTTTATCTTAAGTGCAGAGAATTGCAAATGGACAAATAGAATCAGAACTTAAATGATTATAAACTTTTTTAAATGAAGCTTGCATTTTCATTTTTAGAGACATTCTGTCATTCTAATGAGATTTACTTCAGAGCAGTATATTATTAAATAAACAAATAATATATCAAATTCTGAATAACTGTATAATTATGCTTGGCATTAAAAGTAAAATGAAACCGAAAACTCAGTCCTCTTCAAAGTAAACTTTTAAATTACTATGTCAGAAATGAAAAATTATATTTGCTTTTTGTTCAGATTTTGTGAATATAAATGTGCTGTTACAGAATTTACAAATGAATTTAATTAAAAATTATATTAGAGTACATTACCTTGGTTTTTACACACAAATTATATTCTTGAAGTGATCTTGTTAAAATTACCTATAGTTTTCTTTGAAAAAAGAAAAGAAGGTCAAGGCGACCCTGGCCCGGACTGTCATTTCCACAAGGCTTGTCTTGACATGAGCTCTCCAGAGTAGCCGCTGAGCCTGAGAAGGGAGAGCAGCAGCCCCAGGCACCACCCCTGTTTCTGCCAGACAGTGAGGCCCTGGTCTGTGGAGAATGCCGCCACCTGAACTGACTGTGCAGACCCCACGGTTCCCACGGACCTTCTCAGAGGGGCCCTTGTAAACTCCTAGGGAAGCAGAGGTTCCCACTGAGCACACTCCCTTCGCTGGCCAACTCCATCTAACGGTGGCAACGTAGTTCTTCCCCCACACAGCTCAATTTGCGCTTGATGCCCAGGGTTTTCAAAACTGAACACTACACTGTTCCAAAGTATCTCCAGTGAAGGTAAAACCAGGAAAGCCAAGAAATGATTAAACCACACACCAGGCCCTAGAGCAGTGACCCGACACGCCAAGGTTGTGGGTATGATCGTCAGTCAGGGCACATACAAGAATCAACCAACGAATGCATAAGTAAGTGGAACAGCACATCGGTGTTACTCTTCCTCCACCCCCACTTCTTCTACCCTCTTCTCTCTCTAAAACAAAGCAAAATAAATTAAACCATAACTCAGTTAAATATGTACTTTAGTGGAAAATGTGGAGAATTCATCTGGATTGGACATAAGGTGGCTTCTAAGGTAGCGTAGTGTTCTGCCCCTTCAAGACAACATACCATCCATCTTATTATTCTTTGGACCATACCTGTATATATGTTCTTCTTTCTGTATGTATGATGCATTCCACAGTTGAAAGAATATATAAACTTACAATAAATAGCAAGGGGAACTGAAGGGGGAAACATCCAGAGGCCAGAGACTACATTCTGGAAGGTATGAGTGGATGAAAGAGTGTGGACTGATGCAGGGAGCTCAGGGAAATTCACGTGCTGGAATGCCAGTAGAAGGGGCTGTGGAGGCCAGCGGCCCAAGGCCCAAACTTGGAGCCCTATCCCCTGTGAGAGGACCGTATCATTCCAATGCCAGCTGAGCTTCCCGAGGGTGAGTTATGCTTGCTCTGTGCCCCATCACCTGCTTCCTCGGTTGGCCTCCATGACCCAGGTGGCCCTCTGCCATGTCAACTGACTGCAAGTAGCAACTCAGCTTCCCAGCACCAAACTGCGGTTGGCCAACCACTCTACACTCAGCCTCACGGCTTTGTCTCGGAGCCACAGGCCCGAGGCTTTGGGCCAGCGCTTGGCTCCTAATCCAGACTCCTCCTGTTTCTGCTAAGCATCAGGCATCAAGCTCTCCTCCGGCCTCCTGAAAAGTTCCAGGTATCAAGGCTCCCAGAGCTGCAGTTTTGCTCAGCCCCTGCAAGGCCAGGAGTGAGCGAAGTTAGCCCAGATGTTGGCAGGAAGGAGCCTTACAGACTACCTACTCGTTGCAGTCGATGGAGGCACCAATGCTGAGGCCAAGAGAGAGCAAATTCGACCAAGGCCTCCCGGCTGGAGTTAAAAGTCACCTCTGCTCTTCCAGAACGATCTGAGCCTGCATGAGACAGACACCAACTTGGGGCAAAGACTCAGGTAACAGTGCCTCCCCTACCCCAAACTCCACCCAGTCTCAGGCTGGTTCAGAGGCAAGCACGAATCTCCCCTCTTAGTGTTGCTTGGCAGTGTATCCCAGAGGGCCGCTCTCCACTCTGCAAGGCCTCAGTGCATCCAGAAAGTTTGTGATCTCGCAACTTAACTGGCCTTCCATTTTTAAAAGGTGTAGTGGATTTCCCCTCGTAATTATAAAACAAAGTTTCCCATAGAAAACTTGGAAGATGCAGAAACGTTAAAAAGTAAATTAAATTACTCATAATGACGCAAGTACAAACTCTTAAGGTTTGGGCAACATAACTGAACTCTTTAAAAGAAACCATTCCTGAAACAATGGGTCCCCTCCCCATTTACTCTGCAAGTGATAAAATCGATGCAGCAGCTGCCCCCTCTGAGAATGGTGCTGAGTCTGGGCTCTCAAAGAGTTGTGCGCAGCTCCGTGGCTGGGTGCACACAGGTAGAGGGCTGTGCTCTGGGTCCCAGCCAGCTGCACTGGCCCCACACAGCTCTCCCACTCCGGTGGCCACAGGCGAGGGTGAGCACAGGTCTACAATGGCCAGGGAGACACCAACAGCAAGTCTGACCCCACAGGCTGGACCACCACAGCAGCAAGAGGCTTTTCCAGAACATTGCCCTCAAGCTTCTCCAAACAAAAAGAACAGAAGAGGAAGGCTCTCCTTTGACCCAGGCCACAGAGCATTCAGCAGGGCCAGCCCTGGCCTTCTGACCACTTTTCCCAGTTCCCCAACCTCCTGGAACATGGGCTCCCAGGCCCAGGCAGGCTGCTCCCGACAGCCCTACAATGCTGGGTGGCACTGCAACACAGCCCCCATGCGGGGCTGGCACTCCTTACCCTGGGCGGGGCCTTTCCCCCTCCCTAGCAGACGGGGCCCTGGCTGAGAACATTACAGGACCCCATCCCCTTTGCTTTCCACGGCCTAGTCCAAACCTGTAGAACTGAATGTGATGAGCATCTGAGGGCAGGATCTGAATCTTACACAAATTAGTCATCTGGCCGCAGCCACCACCAACACTCTGCTGGAGTGACGGACTAGTGGGACGATGTGCAGAAAGTCGCAGGGGAGGGGAGGAGGGGGTCAGAGAGAGGCTGATGCAGCAGGTCAGAGGGGCTTCTCAATATCACCAGAGCTGGAATGAACCTCAGACACCAGCCAGTTCCAGTTACATGGCTGCTGGGGAGGAAAGCTGAGGAAGCAGAAAAAGATGGGAAATAGGCGAAATAGAGGAAACTCCATCACAACCAGTTACAGAAATTGACCTTTATTTATTGTACTAAAGTCTGTTTAACTTTTGATACAAAGTAAGGTTTCAGTACAGAAAATCCCAGTCTGAGAGAACAGTACCTGTGCACACTGTACCATCACGGTCCCACTGCCTGCAGCGCCGCAGCCGCAGCTGGAGCGCATGCGAGCGGGACCTTGAGACAGCCTACAGCTTGTCTGAGTCGTCTGAGCTAGAAAACTTGTACCTGGAAAACAAGGGGCAGCATTGAGGACTGAAACGTGTCTCTTTTCGAACAACTGTGCAAGAAAATATATCCCTTTTTTAAAAATGTCAGTACGGCTAAACTACAATCTAGTGTCTAGAATTACAAAGAATAAAATGAAATCAGAGATTTCTTGCTAGTAAAATGAAATGTTAGGAACAGTATTAAAATACAGGGCCCACCCCGCTGGCACGCACGTGGAGCCTGGCACAGAACCTACTACTAACAGGACGCACAGTTCAGGGGGGAGCCACATCAAATCTGCAGCCAGAGACATCCAGCGTCTGAAGTGCAAAAAATAAAAAAATAAAACCAAACAAATCCTGAACGAAGACATCCTCATGGAGCACTTCTTGTTCATGTCGTGAGTGCTGCAGCCAAGATGAAAAGATCCCACTCTCTTTTTAGATTTTTGACGAGGACAACACTCATCATCAGGCTTCCTCGACGACTCTCAATCCAAAGCTTGAAACGCAAAAGAGCCGATGTGTCTGCCTCACTCTCCAGAGTTTAAGAAGTACCCTGCCAACGCTGCACTGACCAAGGCTGTCGCTATTTACAGAACCGAAAGAGGACCCAAAGGCATGCATGCATCAGCTTAACATCCTGCCCAGAACTAGCTGTCATCGGGAACCCAAGAGGCTGCGACGGACCAGACAGAACGCTGAAACGGAAAACGCGGACGGAGAAGAAGTGAGAGGGCGTAGAAGGCAGGAGGGAAAGTCGAGAGACGAGGTTGTAAGACTGCCAGTGTTGCCTTCCCTGCCGCTGGCGAGTCGGCGCACAAAGGCACTGGTTCTGCCGCCGCAGATGGCTAGGCATCTGCAGTCGCGACGTCCTTCCAGGAGAGATGACACTGAGGAGCAGAAAGTTTTTCAGAGCTCTGGTCCCACCAATAAGAACCTTCCAGAGCAAATCAGCCCCAATGAGGTTCCAGAGTTGTTCTGCTGCGAACAGGAACTAAACCAACATCAAAGCAACACGGGGGATGGACAGAGGGCAGGGGCTGGGCACCGACAACATGGCCGTTCAAGTAAACGTAAACAACCAAATACTTAGAAAAAGGCTTGTAAACTTGTGATATGAAAGGGTGTCTTTGCAGCATCTCCGATCAGCTGGCTAAAGAAAGGTTGGTGTTGAACCTCTCCATCAAAGTCTTTTGTATTTTTTGTTTCGTCTTAAAGCACGTATGTGAGAGGAAGGCAGTCCGCTGGGCTGGGCCCGGATCCCACTTGTCTGCAGCCCTCTGTCCCAAAGGAGGTGCTTCTGGAGTCCTCGTTTGTGGATCCTTCCCCCGCGTGCTCATGGACAGCCAGACTCTATTCTTAGTCACTAAGGAGCTGCGCCAGGTGCTGACACCGGCAGACAAACAACAGTCGTTTCACAGCACGGCGTCCTCCTACAGCGGGCAGGCCGGGATCCACAGGACTTTATTCTGTTCTTGATTGACCAATGCCAGGATCTGAGTGCAAATGCTCGACAGGGCTCCTCCCTGGACGACCCCTGCAAAAGAGTCCCAAACACGCACGTCACTGAGTTCAGAAGAGGACCCCAGGTTTGAGGCAACTACATGCATCTTGTACCCTTTCGGTCTCTCTGCCTGTTTTGAGCCAGTGCCTCATTCCCGCCCTACTCTCTTCCATCAGCAGGAAATTGGGAAGGAAAAAGAAATGAAGAGTTAAAACAAATCACTTTGGCTTTGTGTCTGTCTCTCTGGACCACTGTTCAGCAGGATGCTGAAAACCAGGCTTAAATGACAGCGGGTGCCAAATCTCGCCTGGCTTCCGCAGCCTCTGAAACAGGGTAACCAGGATTTAAATACTGGCGTCACATGCAACATGCCTCGTCTCGCCATGGGGCCAGCATATCAGAAAGCCATTTGAGCTGTGTTACGATGGTCTAATCAGCAGCAGAGTTCCACAGGAAACAGGTGGGTTTGGCAGCTGGACAGCACACAGACCAGAGAGGATTCCCAGCAAAGACCGTGGTGTGCTTCCATGTGCAGCCCAGCCCTAGAAGGAGGCTTTTGACATCTCGGCTCCTGCAGACATGAGACCTAGGCGCTCAGTGTGCTCTAGGCAACAGCGCCTGCAGGCAAAACCGGTCCCAGCCTCTTGCCACAAAGTGTGTGTACAGGAATTGCTAGGAGCGTTTACAAATCGCTATAGAAACACGAGAGTAATTGTATGTCTACTGACTCTAATAAAAAGGCAAGGCTTGTATTTTTTAAGTTTTGGAGTTTTAAATTTTCATTTCTCTACCGACTAAAATATTGGTCTGTGATGGCCTGGGAATTAAAACACATAAAGAGAAGCACCAAAGTTGGTTTTGAGAGCAACTGTTGCCTGGGAACCAATCTAGATCAAAACAACCTCTACAAGTTAATTCAAATGACTGTCCCCACCTCTCTGTGACCACAATGTTATTAACTCCCCTGCAGGAACAGAATGGAAGCCACAGAATCAAATGACAGCTGGGAACTGGAGCCATGCTTCTTCTGGTTTGCATCCCTACCAGAGACAGGAAGAACGCAACTTTTCTTCACCAGACCGCACGGCACAAGCTGACCTGCCCTGGAGGGTGCTGGGGACGAGGGTCACAGCCACCACCACCATGCTGCCCCCTGGGTGCACTGAAGCTATTATACAGGGCAGTGAGACACACCTACCACTTCACATGTGAAAAAATCTGGGTGAACAACACCAGACCACGACCCAAGGTCAAATCAGTGAACTTCATAGACCTTTCAACCTATACCATTTCTGGCATTGCCCTGTGCCTGCGGTCGGAATGCCCATAATGCCAGTGCTTACACGGCATCCCCAGGCATGTGGAGAGCGGGGCTGCCACCACTTCTAAGAAGGATGTCTTTGGGACACCTGATTCCATCCCTGCTGCCTGCTGCTCCTCCCCAAGCCGGACGCACACCTACCTGTGAAGTACCTACTGTACTCCTGTTCAATCTTCTGAGCCGTCTCAAACTGCTCCTTGGAATGCCTCTGAGTCACCTTGTCCTTCAGGTACAAGGGATCTCTCTGCTCCCTGTAGGGACATCCAGGAAACCAAGCTAAGTCTCTTGCTTCCCCAGGCCCTTCTCTTCCCTTCCTGTGTCCAGAGTCACGGGGACCCCCGATGCCTCAGGGGCCCGGTGTGCTCCCCTCATAAGGCACAGAAATAGCTTGCAGACCCACAGGAGCTCTGGGCCGAGGTGGGCACCCCAGTGCATGTACCCAGCAAGCAGGAGCCCCAGAAGCCCCTGAGGACAGAAGCTTGGAAGCACGAAAAAGCAAAATGGAGGGGGACCCTGACAAGCTGTTAGCCCAAGCCTAGGGAAACCGAGGGTCAGTGAAAGCAAAGTCTTATCCAAGTCACAAGCCTGCTTCCGGCAGAGCTGGACCTGACCCAGGCCACCGAGTTCCTGTGACCTTGCAAGCACCAAGCTGAGAGGCAAGAACAGGGTTCAGAGGGAAGGGACAAAAGGGGTGCTCTGCAGACAAAGCTGGACACGCTCGGAACTGTGGCAGCTCCTAAACAGGGTAGAGGGGTGGTAGGGAGGGAGAGGCTGAGTTGGGCTAACACGGCCTGACTCTGAATGTGAGACAGTGGCTTGAAGTGGAAGCGTCATTCCCACATATGCTGTCTGTTTCAAGGCCGACGGTGTGTCTCGTTCTTCCTACCCCAACCAACACCCCAACCAACACCCCATCCCTGCCACCTTGGCCGTTTGAGCCAGCAGCCCCCGCCAGGCCCCGGGCTTACCCCCCAGGAGCCAGCCACCTACTTGATGTGCTTGGCGCTCTTGTAGTGGATGAAGATGACAATGGGGTAGATGTGCATGTGGTGCAGCCGCTCGATGGCGTGGGGGGCGATGTCCAGCAGACAGTGCCGGTTCTGAGGGGGTGGGTGCAGAGTGAGAGCCTGGGCCGGGCCTGAAGAGCTGGGCCTCGGAAATGCTGGAGCCCTTCTGGGGACACCCTCCACCTTTCTCTGCCACCAATGAGTCCCACCTCTCACCTCATACTGCTCTGACTCCAGAAATAAACACATCAAGTTCTACCAATGAACAAGGAGGCAAGATCTACTTTTATGAAGGCCACACATAGGCACAGGTTCCACGAATGTAGCTGGGGCCCTGCTGTGGAACTCCCTGGGAGAGGCCCTTCTTAAGAGTTCAAAGCTCTCATCAGAGGGGCAGAGGAGGCCTGCACACAGGGACTCCAACACTCCTCTCCCAGACGAGCCTCCTCTTTATGAAAGTGGAAGCACACAGAAGCACTGGGGGCAAACCCCGAGCAGGTTCGTCTGGACTAAAGGACATGAGGGAGCTCAATAGTCAGAGCTGCACAGAGCAGGGGTCAAAAGCACAGGGGCATCCAAGTCCAATGCTCAAACAGGAGCCAAGCCCTCTGTCTGAAGCAATGGGTACCTTTTCTGTGATCTCCTTTATGGAAGCCACTGTGGTCACATCAAAATGGCCACTCCTCCGCTTATAGTCCACAAACAGGCAGTCTTTGACGCCGCGCTCGATGGCCTGTTGGGAGGCCTTCATCACCTCTGCAAAGCACAGACACAGGGGTCAGGGCACCCCAGCACTCGGCACTTTCTGGGGAAGAACTCTGTGCAGAAGGGCCATGAGGAGCCCGACCCTGCTGTCCTGTCCTCCAGAAACAGAACCAGACGCTACTCGCTGGTCTGACCCAAGTCAGGAGGGCCCCGAAACACGATGGGATCCAGCCCCAGGAGATGGTGGACGTGGACGAAGGGACAGGCATGGAGGGGCCCCCTTACCAAGGGGGCATCTGCAGAACTTGCCAGGCGCCTCATTCACCAGCATCTCCTTCACCACGTCCAGTAAAGGCCCCAGAATCAGGACGGGCCTCAGGGAGGTACAGTCTACTTTCTGGACCCGCTGATAGGCGAGGCTCACCGAATCTGAGGGAGAGAGAGGGGCAGGGTCATGGGAACCCACTTAGAGCAAAGGGAGGGACGGTGGGTGGGAACACACCACTCCTTGGTCTGTTAACTCCAGGCAGGCCCACCCCCTTCACTCCACAAGTCCAGAGCCAGGTAGAATGTCCCACTCGCCCCAGTTTGCCTGGCAATTAACCAGTTTTAGCACCGAGAGTCAAGAGTCTCACATTCTGGGCATCATGCTGGAGTGATTTCACACTTCCTTCTACTGCAATTCTTCCTGCTGTGTCTTACACCTGCTCACCCCACCCCCAGTACCAATTCCGTGCTCCCTAGAAAGGGGACCCCTCAGAGGTCAGCAGGTACAGCCTTTCCTGCAGGTGACCTAGACCCGCCCAGTACAGTGAGCAGAGGTGAAGGTCGCACTTCCTCAACCCCTTTCCCATGGGCCGAAACAAACAGAACCAGATGCTGTGAGCCAGCTCTGATCCTATAGATGAGGACGACCCTTAGGAAATGGCAGAGCACAAGACAAGGGACCTGGGTCCCTGGATAACCCCAAGAACAGGGCTGTCTCCCCAGAACCACCCACCAGCTCAGACGTGTGCATGGCAGAAAAATCAGCTCCCTACCATGCCTCAGCCACTGCTATCTGGTCTCAGTCTCGGCAGTCAAATGAATATCCTAGCTGATACATGTAGAATGATCTAGTTCTTGCAGAAGGTGATGGCCTAAGAACCAGCACTCGAACACCTGTAGGCCCTCTTGGCATCAGTCGCAGTGCTGGCATCTTAGAAACACTTTTAAAAGTGTAAAGAGCACAGTCCTTGCCATTACTAAGCTCACACTCTAACCAGTGTCGTAAGACAGCACCATGTGACAAGACAACCACACAAGAGCTGCCCGACAACTCCAGGCAACAGAACAAGCAATCCCAGGGATGGGACGGGATTAAACGAACACTGTGTTGGACCGGAAGATGAAGAGACACGGGGGAGGCCCAGGAGGGAGGTGGGACGGGAGCCGTTACTCAGGCAGAGCATGGCAGGACAGTGGGTGATGGCAATGGGTGGGGACAGAGCTGAGACGAGGGGGTGGAGACTAAGGGGGGCTTGTGAGAAAGGGTCGAGGAGAGGCTCAGCCTAGAAGATATGAACACAGCTGTCCACTGAAGTGTGACTAGGAGACAAGGAAAGAGGAGTCAGAAGTGTGGGTTTAATTGAACACTGCACAGCGAGAGGTGCAGCCTCGGCTCTATAAAGACCTTAAACACTGTAAACAACCTTCCTGTTGGTCGCCCTATGGATGAAACTCTGAGACTAGTTCAGGCTTTCCAGTTCACTGACAAACATGGGAAGTGTGCCCGGCTGGGTGGAAACCTGGCAGTGACACCACCAAGCCCAGTGTCCAGAAGAGCAATGAGTATTTCTCTAAGCAGAGGGCCATTACAGGGTCATGGTGGCAGTGTACAGCCATGAGAACAAAACCTCTCTTTTACTATTATCACGCATAAAATTCCAGATCTTAGATTTAGGCCAGATGTGGTTTGGGACAAAACAGGCCCTTCCTACAGGGTTGGGGAGGCCAGCCTTTCTTCCAGCCTTTCTGGAAGAAATGGCCTGGACTTATGGAGGTCAACCGATGTGTACAGTAGTGGGACATCCCCTTTTATTTTGTGTAGTTTCTATTAAACTTGAATGGAGAAAAAAAAAAAGAATGAAATCATAAAAAGTACCTTCTCTGACCACAATGAGATAAACCAAGGAATCAATAGCAGAAACAAAACCCACAAACATATGGAATTTTCATTTTTTAACATGTGGAAATTAAACAATTCTCTCTTTACCAACCAATGGATTAAAGAAATAAAATTGCAAGGAAATTTAAAAAACATCTGGAGACAAATGAAACTGAAAACAAAGCATACAAACCAACACTTTGCAGCAAAAACAGTATTAAGAGGGGAAGTATATAGCAATAAATGTTAATATTGGAAAAGAAGAAAGATCTAAAACAAACAAACTAACTTTACACACTTTAAAGAACCAGGAAAAGAACACATTAACCCAAAGTTAGCAGAAGGAAGGAAATAATAAACAGCAGAGACAAATTAGAGAATAAAAAAAAACATTAGAGGACTTCCGCCAAGATGGAGGCATAGGTGGAGACGCCTTGCTTTCTCACACAACCAAGTTTAGAGTCAACTAAATATTAGCAACAGAAAACACAGCCAGAACACAGAAAATTGAACTTTTCGGAAGTCTGATAACAACAAATTCTTCAGCCTGACAGGTAAGAGGGGCGAAGCCAGCAGCTGGCGGAGCGGAGTTGCACAGGAAAACTCAGTAAGACGGACTCAGGCCCGTGGAACCCAAGCACAGGGTTGCAACGGGTGGACCTAGTGAGCGACCCAGCGAGTGAAAGATTTGACTGTGGTCACGCAATAGTGTGCAGATAGACCAGCAAGGGAGTGGGCGGTTAGACGGGACCCAGCAGCCCAATCGGCAGCAGAGGGCGCCGCCATTTCCCGCTCTGACCCCGCCTCCACACACAGCGTCATAACATAGCAACCTGAGTAGCCCTGCCCCGGTGAACCACCTAAGGCTCTGCTCCTCACGCAGAGGCGAGAAACAGCAGAGGGGGCCGCCATTTCCCCACTCTGACCACACCCCCATATACAGCATCACAACCCAGCGACCTGGGAGTCCAAGGCTCCGCTCCTCATTACCCCCCCCTTTAGTTTATGACCATGTGTCTCAAGTTCTTTAGATTCTGTATTTACCATACTACTCTTGCCCCCCCCCATCTATTTTCATTTGGGCGCGAACAGACCAAAAATGGCTCAAGAAGATCTCAAAGCCCCAGAGCCTATAAATCTAAGCGATGAAGAAATAGCAAAACTCTCAGACGCACAGTTTAAAACACTGGTGATCAGAATGCTCACAGATCTGGTTGATTACAGCCACAAATTAGACAAACATATGAAGGCGAAACTAAATGAAATGAATGGAATTGCACAGGAAACAAATAACGATGAAAAGGAAACTGGGACTCAAATCAATGGAGTAGACCAGAAGGAGGAAAATAATGGCCAAACAGAAAAGAGTGAGGAAGCAAGAATTCAAAAAAATGAGGAGACTTAGGAACCTCCAGGACATCTTTAAACGCTCCAACATCTGAATTATAGGGGTACCAGAAGGGGGAAAGGAATAGCCACCAGTGGAAAACTTATTTGAACAAATAATACGAAGAATTTCCCCAATCTGGCAAAGGAAATAGACTTCCAGGAAATCCAGGAAGCTCAGAGAGTCCCAAAGAAGTTGGACCCAAGAAGAAACACACCAAGGCACATCATCATTACATTAGCCAAGATTAAAATGAAGGAGAGAATCCTAGAAGCAGCAAGAGATAAGGGGACAGTCACCTACAAAGGAGTCCCCATCAGACTGTCAGCGGATTTCTCAAAAGAGACCTTACAGGCAAGAAGGGGCTGGAAAGAGGTATTCCAAGTCATGAAATCCAAAGACCTACAACCAAGATTACTCTATCCAGCAAAACTTTCATTTAGAATGGAAGGACAGATAAAGTGCTTCTCAGATAAGGTCAAATTCAAGGAGTTCATCATCACCAAGCCCTTATTATATGAAATGTTAAAGGGACTTACCTAAGAAAAAGAAGTTAAAAAAACATGAACAGTGAAAGGACAGCAAACTCACAGTTATTAACTACCACACCTAAAACAAAAGCAAACTAAAAGGACAGCTACATCAGGAGTGGAAACATAGAAATGAAGATCTCAAGGAGGGTTAGCAACAGGGGAGTGGGAGAAGGAGAAGGGGGGAGAAGGTACAGAAAATAAGTAGCATAGATGGTAGGTAGAAAATAGATGGGGGGGCAAGAATAGTATGGGAAATACAGAATCTAAAGAACTTGAGACACGTGGTCATAAACTAAAGGGGGGTAATGGCGGGGATGGGGGTAGGGTATAGGGGAATGAAGGGGGGAATAGAACAACTGTAATGGCATAATCAATAAAAAAAGAGAAAAAAAACATTAGAAAAAAAAATTAATGAAACCAACAGTTAACTTTTTGAAAAGATCAATAAACTCGTAGCTGACTAATTAAGAAAAAGAACACATAAATAACCAAAACTAGAAATAAGAGGGGACATTAAAACAAACTACACGTAAATAAAAAAATTAAAAGAACTACTATACTAGGAACAATTATATGTCAACAAATTAGATAACCTGGAATTCAAGAAATATTCCTAAAAACACACAACCTACCAAGACTGGATCATGAAGAAATAAAATATCTGAATGAACCTGTAACAAGAAAAATGGAATGATAATAAAAAAACTTCCCAACAAAGAAAAGCCCAGGACCAGATGGTTTCACCACAGAATTCTACCAAACATTTAAAGAAGAATTAACACCAATTTCCTCAAACTTTTCCAAAGAATTTATGAGGAAGAAAAACTTCCAAACTTATTCTGTGAGTTTACTCTGATTACTTTGGTAGCGAAACCAGAAAAAGACACAAGAAAAGGAAACTGCAGACCAATATCCCAGATGAATATTTATGCAAGAACCCAAACAAAATACTAGCAAACTTAACAGTATATTAAAAAGATTATTCACCATGACCACATGGGATTTATATGTGGAATTCAAGGATGGTTCAACATAGAAACACCTATCAATGTAATACAACACATTAATAAGATGAAAGACAATACCCACAATATCATCACCATTAATGCAAAAAAATCTGTCAAAATTCCCCACCCTTTTACAACAAAAAAACACTCATTAAGTTAGAAATAGATGGAAACTACCTCAATATAATAAAAGACACATATGAAAAGCCCACAGCAAACATTATACTCAATGGCAAAAGACTAAAAGCTTTCCTTCTGAGATCAGGAACAAGGCAAGGATGCTCACTACCACCACTACTATCCAACATAGTACTGGAAATCTCAACCAAAGCAATTAGACAAGAAAAAGAAATAAA